CTCGTAAACTGCAGACAATACAGTTTATTTATTATGTTTTTCCTGTAGTATAAGGTTCTTAGTTACAATTGAATATTGCTTTGTATTATTAATTTATATATATTTATATTAAATAGTTCTAAGCCTAGGCAAGCTTTCGGAAAAAATTTGAAAAGTTTTTGTTTGTCCCTTATATCTAAGATGGGTTTAATGTATTGTATTGTAAAGATATACATTTTCGTAAAAACATTTGTTACATTTTGTCTTTTAAAAATAAATGCATAAATTCTTTAAGTTTGAGCGATTTCTCTAAAGCATTTTTGAATGTCCTCAGTTAACTTATGCGAAAAAAAGATATCGAATAAGAAAGAACAATAGATTACACCCTACTCTATGCACCGCGGTGGTGACAAAAAAATTTACAAAAAATATTAATGGAATTCGACAAAATAATTATTAACTTTGAAATTACGACCTTAGTGAGGGGTGAAAATTATAGTAACATATTTGTTAGCAGTTAGTGAATGCGTTTTAAATTTCGTTAAAAATACCTATAATTGTTATAATATGTACATCCCATAAGTAAAAGACCGGCTAAGAGCAGTTCGACAGAAAAAAATATCAGTAAGGGAAATCTAATTTAATATTATTCCGTTTTTATCCAGAAATACATCATCTGTGAATAGTTGAGAAGGAGAAAAGACATAGATACCTCCTTTTAAAACTTTGAGTAATCTCATTGTCCAATATAACAAATCAGACAATTTTTTGTGTCTTGTCCCTTTTCATTAATTTTATGATAGAAGTAGACAGAGAAGCCAGGGTCCACTTGGTTTAAGGGGAAAAACCTTAGTCATCACATTTAATCAAGACACGCTAGCGACCTATTTCGGCTTTAAATATTCAGAAAACCACAGACTGAAATGCGATTAAACTTGACGGCTTTTTCATGTTTCCATATTTCTACAATTTGATGTGCAGATTTCCAGCCAAAGTGCTTATTTCAGAAATGTCAAAATTCATAATAACAACATATATTGGACCCGGTGGGACTCGAACCCACGGTCCCTTAATTATTAGCATATACATAGATAGAATTCAACATCGCGTCAAATTTATAAAAGCAACTATCATACTTGCCCAACAGAAGCAAAATGTAGGAACATAATATTATCTAAATGCTTCCAAACTTACGCTTTACAGCCATTTCAATTTATGCTAACTGCTATCAACCATGCTAAGTGAATAGCATTAGCTAAACTGGAACACTAAATTGCGTTACTCCACGAAATTTGGCTTAATTCTGTGACAACACTAGGTACTAACTTAGTTGCTAGCAAGCAAATTCTGAATTGCCTGTAGATCTCATGTGGAAATTGCTTTGTTATTTTCTTGAACAAGAAGATAAGCATGGTCTTTACAAGTCAGAAGGTAAAATAACCTGAGTCGTAATATATACATTTAGGCTTTGGCAATAAGAACTCCAACAAAAAATCCGAATTTACTAATATTTATATTCATATTGAGTTGTTTGTTCTTTGAACGGTGTTAGACATTAGAAATTAATCTAATTGAAAAATATTGTAGTTATCCGTAGATTGAATCCACGGCCAATTCCTTTGAAGTAAATAATACGTGGAGAAGATACCGTACAATTTTAAAGAACGGTTTGTAATATTGAAGCGACGATCGAATCCACTGTTGGAAATTGGAATATAGAACTTGGTTAATAATAACATGTTCGAAACAATGCGCCTGAGTTGCTTAATACTGACTACATAATAATAATAGTATGATAATACCTTGTATTTAAAATATTAGATACGCCGATTTGTTACATCTATATCAATATTAAAACGCGTAGTATGTTAGTTTAATTGCACGTGCTATCTAGGAACTACTGCATTTTTGTCTTGGCTTGCATTTGTTCATACAGTGAAAACGGTTTAAGGTAACCAAAACCGTTGTCACTGGAAGACTACTCTTTAAATGCTCTAAAAAATGTTCGCTAGATTATAGCCTATGTTGTAACTTTCAAGAACGACGATCGCGCACAATTATGGGCAACAGTATCTATAAAGACGAAATTTTGAATGAGTCCCAATAACTATTCTATGCGGACGAAGTCGCTTGGCACACAGTTATCTATACATATTTTATAACACATGCGCCTGAGCTGCTTCATAATGAGAGTAAAGTAATAATAGTATAATAGTCAATTTTGTGTAAGAAAATACCGATTTTGATATTTGAAACATAGTACTACCATAATTTGTGCCGAGACGTGTGTCCACAATATTTATAACAATTTGGAAACACACCTATCAATGATGGGACAGTTAAAAGCACTCTCATTTGGTTCGGAGTCACTCATTAAATTAGTAGGCTTGGTTCGTTAAAACGGAACAAGGCCGAGAATAAAATTGATGATGTTATTTGTACTATCTGTGATTTGAAGCACTTTCACGGTTGCATTTCATGGGTTTTGTCTTTTACGATCATATTATTTATTTTTGTTGTTTGTAACTGCTTGTTAGCTTGCTAAATTACGGCTGTTAACCACAACATCGTTCGCGTCCCGTCCTTCTTGCGAGTTAATCTTAAAATATAGACATATAATGTCGTGGACATTTTTTTAGATCATTTATAGAGGAATCTTTTTACCATACATGTTTTTGGTTTTCTCAAACCTTATTTGCAGCGCACGCAACTGAATCTTACAAAGCGAAATAATTTTCCCCGTTTTTTCCACATTTCCACACACAACAAACACAATTTTTTTTTTCATTTCGATCCACTAGTTCCTGACATTAGCGCTTTGAAACAAACAAACTCTTCAGCATTATAATATTAAATATAGGTTTAATTTATTTATTATATATCTACAGGCAATAAGTCAAGCAGACTGGATCTTGGATCTTGATCGAAACTATTCTATATTTTATCATTGTACCTGGCAGTCAGTCATACTCACTTCATGTTATTTTTATATTTGAAAACTCCTACGTCATTTTTAACAATAGTTAAATCAATTAATAAGTATAAGAAATATATTAGATTAGATAGTTTCTTATGTTAAAAGTTTAATTATTTTTAAAAGAATTTCTCAGTCTTAAAAGTTCGATATTATCTTATATATAAAAATGATCGGTGTATAGAATTTACGACTATGGTTAAAAATCGTGAAAGTGGTCTTGGGTTCGATTTCTCAGTCAACATCTGTATAATATTTTTTTTGAATTTATTTTAAGTTTATATCGAAATTCCGTTCAGGTCAAGAACCGAAAAAGATTAATATTGTCGTTATAAGGTACCTACCACCTGTATATTTAAGACGTAACTGACCATTTTATACTTGAGCAACGCTAAACTAAGCCATAAGGTACAGATAATATTTAAGTATTGTTATCTGTAGCTTACGGAAGTAAAACACATTTTAACGGTTCAATATGCGAAATATATAGGTTCACTTGTTTTTACATCATAAGTTTCCATGTGATTTAATAAATTGCAAATAAGTTAAATATACCGTGTTTTAAACCGTTAAAAGTTATTTTCTTAAATGTACTTCCGGAGTTTAATAAATACTAAGTATATTTAGATTTCGACGATTATATATATTGTTAGTGTTTCCTTTGCATACATACGATTGTGCAATGAGTATTGTATCCGAGGACAGATATGAAATAACAAACTAACCACAAAACACATGAAATTATTGTAATAACTCCAATGCGCCTGATATTGTTTTACGAACTCTGTACCAGAGCCAAATGAAACTGCGAGAAACTAATAAAATATCAAAGAAAAACAAACAGTTTTTATTAGAAAGCGAATAACATTTCTTCTTCCTTATATTCAATGCTATATATAATAAGTTAGTAAAAGAAGCTTAGCTTGTATTTTTAACCGACTATGAACAAAGGAGGTTCTTGTTATAACTGTATACATCTATAGTTAGCCATGTAGTTTAAAGCATGTTTATGGACCTAGTGAGCCTTATTAAAAACATAAATTCTATGTAAATACTGTCTAGAGTAGTACACATTTAAATAAAACACTTTAACGGTTTAAAACGCGATATATTAGTTAAACTTATTTGAAAATGATTTTTAACCTCGGCCCCACGTTTATAATATATCGCGTTTTAAACCGTTAAAGTGTTTTATTTAAATAAATTCTATGTTTCGATTCTTATGCCTATTATATATGTGCGCGGATAGCTTTATCGCTTATTTTCCCATTTAAACATTTTCGAATTACCTACGTATTCCTTCGAGCGTATAAATTTATTATAAGCTGTATGCCTTTTGAGGTACCCCTTCGAGACGATTATTTTTTATAAATGGTTATATTATTACTCTTATTTATAAGAAACTTATCCGCCTTTGTAGCTAAAGGGTTTACCGTGCTGTCTAGTATTGCGTTAAACACAAAAGGTCCTAGGTTGGAATCCCAGAAAAACAGCCGATTGTTTCGATTGGCCAGGGTACAGAAGTCTGATCAACTATTTAAAATACCGATCAAGGCACCGTGCCATCTGGCAAATTTAATTTTGAAACCAACATGTCGCCTAACTCTTGGACCTCGTATTCTTCAGTCGAATTTTTCAACCAATAGAGCAACGAACAAGTGACCTTATTTTTATATACATACCTACATTTAAAACTTTCCCACGATTCGAACATTTCAAATGTAAAGACAATCGGACAAGTGGCTTGTTTATATTATGGGATTAAAACTCAGAACATCTAGAAATATCTGCTCTCAAACCACTAAACATAAAGTCGAATATGATTATTAATTAATCAAAAAATGTTAAAGACGACAATATCAACATATATTTTTATATGCTGTTGAATTAAGAAATACCTACATTGTGATGTAAACATTTTAATTGATTTCGGTCATTTTAATTATATTATAAAATATATTAATTGTATGATAAAAAATTATTTAATTATTTTAAATTCAACTCTCGTAGCTAAAACCTAAAGTATAAGAAATATTCACCAAATTACCTATTAATCCGTCAATTGCACCAAAACACAAAGTGACAAACAAACAAAACAAACATCGTCTCGTGAGAGTTTTCAACATTTTTCCAATAGAACATCCTCCGCGGACATTTTCAACATTCTAAACAAAGGAGTTAGCTAATGTTAAGTCATCGGCTATATTTACGTAACGCGAGCGTAATGTTACGGACGACACAACCTCCCCACACAAGAGCTAACGCGGTACTGAATTTTTCGTACACTCGTAGAGTTTCGTAGCGTTTCAGCGTAGCATTTGGAAAATCCGTGAGACATCGATCGAAGTTTCAGCTTCAGAAACTTCAGCTTCAAAAGTATTAAGTAACAAGAGAGCAAAATATATAATATAATTTGTTTTATATAACTCGGCAATGAGCAAATGTGTTTTATACCTTTGAATAATCAGAATAAGACTTATAAATAAATGTAGTTTAATATAACTTAAGAACGAATTTTTAACCTAATAACAAATAAATAACTAACCTCATTAATAAAATTTAATAATACTATAAAAAATCAATTTCATCTTTGCGAGTAAGTACAAGTTAAATAAAACACTTTTAACGGTTTTAAACGCGAAAATTATTAGCGGGCCGGGCGGGAAAATTATTTTACAATGTTCGGCCCGACTATTACATTAGACTTCTACGCTCTACCGGTCAAAAATTAAATGTTTCTTCGGAAATTGAACTCTGGACTACCGCACTAAAATTTAATTAATCAACATGAATATATATACTAAATTAAACCGTAACTGTACTTACCGTTACTCGTTTTTATTGACCCAATAATTTCGTTAGCCAAATTTGTGCGTAACGAATTTGTTGGATACTAATTAAGAACGGTATCGCTGTCATTATAACGACGCATAACGACCTCACACAGCGTTACAGTAACGACCGCTTGAATTAAATTGTCTCGTTGTGTTTATGGTTTTTTCACTGAAGTAATAACGTAACTCGCTGTAGGTGGTACTGTTTTAGATAATATTAATTTAGCGTCTAAATTAAATCAACGATTTTTATCTTTTTGTTCTCCCTCTTTTATTGTTTGTCTCAAGCATCGTATTAATAACGTCTCATAGTAATTTAATGGTTATAAAATAATGAAATTGGCTTACAACAAGAACAGAAAAGCTTGATGAAAGGTGATAAACAACACGATGCGCTGTCGGTTTATTTTGGTTTTGGCTAATCGAAAGGCAGAAACAAAACGTTAACTTCACGGCTTTTCAGAGACGGACGGTAGTTCGTGATTCGGACGGATTTTTTGTTATTCCACCCATCTAATATTCAGATTTGTTTGACGTTTGCCTGTCTCGCATATGAGCAGTGTGAGCATTTCGGCTTGTACGTGTTTGTGTCACATGGCAAACTTTCTTGCGGCACCGTACTCCGTCGTAATTGTTTACGCAACGTACGCTTCTATTTTGCATAAGGTTTAAAGTATTGTAACTAACACATTTTAGAAATAGTTATCTACCCTCAGTAGTTACTAGAGCTTATACTTAATATTGTTGAATAAAAAACATATAAATGATGTGAGCACAGTTCTGAATTATTTCTGATTATATATTCTTGGTCAACATTAACGTATATCAACTCATTTATGGCTAATCTAGGATGAGTTCAATGTACACTAGGTTAAGTCTAATGTAAGCCATTATGAAATAAAGAATTTAAAAAATCAATCAATCAATATTCAGATTTACAGTCCAACATGTTTCAAAAAACTTCTTGAGTTCACTAAGCAACGAGAATCCCTTACAAACAAATTGTTGACTAGCGTAAACATCATCGGCATAATAATTGTGTTAGACAGGCTTCAGTAAATTGAATTTGTAAACGCCGATAGGCCGCTTTAAAGAGCCGATTATCACAATTGGTGTCACGATGCTATTAGTATGTAAAGAGCTGGTCGCTATAAAAACGCCGAAGGATTGACAAAGTAAGCACGTAACGAATGCTATTATCAAATGAGCCGCGGCGTTGCGTGAATTCCGTTAGATTTGAGATACGCGTTGTTCTAGGAAGAACTCCATGACTCAGTGGTTGGACGCATTAGGTTAAGCCCTTACGTTCGAAAGGTGAAAAAGGTCACGTTGCGCGTGGGACATGGAGCGAACACATTTCTGTGTCCGTTTCATTTAGAGCCCAATAGTTGACAGGTAATCTATTTTTTTCGGATTCTTTAACTATTTCTGTTTTATTTCGAACCTAAGCCCCACCTCTGGTGGGGGGAATAAGTTTCGATCGGGGGGCTAGTCTGAAGGAAAAGGAATTTGCTTTTCTCATACATTGTAATTTTATTCATTTCATTGCCGTTAACTTTATCGTAATATTAATAATTATTATTATTATTTATGCAAAAAATAGACAAAACAAGTAATTGCCTAACCTTTAAAAAAAATCTTTTTTGTATAGTGATCATATTAAGTTCTCCTTAATTTATTATTAAACACCTGTATTGTATTACCTTTATTTAACATTTCGAATACCCAATGGTAAAAGGTTGTTATACCTATCACATTCCATCAAATGAACTAACAGACGAATAAACACCACGATATACATACAGTAAATCTTTATTTCTTAAACTTTTACCTCCTCACACAGCGTTCACACAAACAATAGCTATCCCATTCTAACATAGTATATTTGTATTTAAGAAAACAGGACAAAAATAGCTAGCGCGGTCTTATAACGCATAATTCACCATAAACAAACTAATAAGGCCATTTAAACACTTGGCGGTCAATTTCTATTTTGGTAACTCAAAATGTAATCGTAAATTCGTTTTGAACAATATTCCGACGACCTCAATTTATTAATAGAATTTGGCACTTTCGGAGGACTGTGAAATTATTATAGGCAGGCAAAATCAAATTGTATCACTAAACAATATTTTTTTTCTTCTTCTAATTCGCAATCTCTTTTTAATTGTATTTTTGTACTAAAAAACACAAATATTAGGTTTTATGGGCAACAAAAAAAGTAAAAAAACTAATAACTAATATTGTATTTATTTAATTATTTGATCTTGCTTTTGAGTTTGGTGTCATCCGAGTGAGCGTTCCGACACTGCGATGGTCCTAGCCCCACGTGGGGCGCGATAGGGACAGACAGTACACAATTATACAGAGACTCTTAAAAGCCGACAGCCTTACAACGCGGGTCCATTAAATAATAGACTTATGAAGCCGATTCCTTCCACTAATTAATCAAATATAATAATAAAATTCTAATAATAAATATACTATCAAAATTTAACTGCTTATTTCCATTGCAAAGTCTCACTCACACACTTCAAATCTATTCCATGCAACTGTTGCGCAACTCGATCGCTCCGTGTATAAATGGCCTTATGACAATGTTTTACTTAGCACGACAATAATACTTACAGTTAATAATAATGTCGTCGACATTTACGACTAAGACTTTCGTTTTGTAATGTTACGTGGTATCTTTTATCGTTTAATTGAAATTAAAGATACAGTCAAGTCTCCGTAAAAAGTCAATTAAAAAATTTATCGCAAAAATCACAATTCAAAAACAGATGCAAAAACAATAACAATATGTTTTTATAGAAATAGCTCTTGGCTATATATTATACAAATTATTGTGCTCGGCGAAAATAAGGAATATATAATATAGGAAATGATTAAAAAAAATTATTTCAATACATTTAAAAATATTATCTTGCACTATGCACAGTTTTGTTCAAAAAAAGGAATCACAAAAAATAGTTTTCTGAATTTTATGAGTAAAATAAATTTGTATTTTAAGTCTTTAATAAAAATTGTTAACGGTTTAAAATGCGAAATATATTATTTTAGTTATTTTTTAAGTGTTGCTACTTTGCAGCCTAGTCGTGATTAGAATCAGCTACGAGATTTAAACCGTTAAACGTGTTTTATTAAAATAATGCGTTAAACGGATTTGAACACGTTTACAGATGGAATCAATTGGATTGTTATTATATGATTTACGAAATAACACAATTTTAATCCAAGATTGTTTTTTATCTCCAATTACCGATCATCGATATTATAATAATAATAATTTGTGGCGAAATAAATTGTGATATGATTTTATTTATTAGATATTATTGTTTATTTACATAAGCCAACGAGTTAACATTTTTGCTCCTTCCTGTTTATTAATTTGATCCTTGTACATTTTAAATGTTTATTATCCAAAAAATATTTTATAGTCTGTATGTACTGCTATATACACAAAGCCAAAGCTGTTTTTACAAACATCTTTAGGTTATGAAATTTTATTAAACGCTTAAGGTTTAAAACGCAAACTATATGAGTTGTTACCTCAACTAGCTTGTCTGAAAATAGATTACAATAAAAGAGATGGCGCTGACGTAGGTTTGACTTTGACATTATGACACCGGCCATCTTTAGACCTCCGTGTTAACGGTTGCTGTTTAATATGCGCAATGTTTAAAATTTATTAACTTATATATTTTGGGTTTTATACCGTTAAAAAGTATATGGGTTTTCCCTATTGCCAAAGTTTCTTCAAGTTACGTGGACTTAAGTAACAAAATACGTTTAAAGCAAATATCTATATTCTTGTCATCCCGTTCACATCTGCGGAAGAAACTCGATGGGCGTGGCAAACTTGAAGTCCTCGGGGAACAGTTTTGCTGCGAAGGGGTACATGAGCTTATACGACTGTCGAATCGTGACGTCAGCAACACCTGCTGTGTCCCCGATCTCCTTTTGGCTGCGTTTGTCTTCGGACGCCTGGAATAACGAGAGGGGATTTTAGAAAAATGCCATTCACTTTTGGATTTTATTAGTCAGAAATAACTTGCAATTATGTACTTTATAAACAGGACCCCCCCCCTTACTTTATATACTTTTTGTCTTGTTTATTTTAGCTATGAAGTAATAATTTGTCTCAATATTTTTTGTTAAAGTTCAAAATTTGTACTGTACAATGTTTTTTTTTCAGATCAGCCTACAACAAGAACAACAAGAAAAATAACAAATACAAAACAACGGGACAAATAAACCGAATCATTTAAGAAAATAATAATACCTGTGAAGCCATGTAAATAGCAGCTGCAGCCACCGATATGGGACTTCTGCCAGATACGATGTCTAGCTCTCCAGCCTTGCGCGCGATGTGTGTGGCCGCCCGCTGAACCGAGTTTGGCAGTCCCAAGTTCGAACAGAATCGAGACATGAAATCCGCTGTCGTGATGAGGTCCACGTGTGTCTCCAGCGCCTTTAGTATCAACTTGAAGCATCTAAAAATTTAAATATGTAGAAGTCACATTTGTGAAGGGGACGGGGGGACTGAAAAACAGGCAGAGGACACATAGGCAAATGGTTCTCTAGATGCGCCGTCAACCTGTTTTGTCTTTAGATATTCAAACATCCACAGACTGTAACCGATTAAACTTCACTTTTATACTTCGACGGTGGAATTTTCGATATATTCCCACTACCAATTTACACTCCAGATTCTTCATTCTTAAACTAACGTTTAGAAAACATATTGTACTTAGCGGGAATCGAACCGACGAATTTTTTATTACTAGCGATACATTACTACAATTCGACGAATAAGATTGAAGAATATTCTGTTCCCCATGGCATAATGGTTAAACCCATGGCATGTCATAATTAGATGTGCACCAAAGAAATAAACAACTGAACAAAATAAATAATTTGTTTCTGTTAGGATAACGACATTGAAGTCCCGACCTCTATATTCGATAATCGCTCTTGTGCTTAAAGCGTATATAAAAACACTGTTAACTAATCATAATGGAATTACCTGCCAATTTCCTTTTTACTAATCTTGCTGACCGCGCAAATCTCCTTGAAGGTTCGAGGTACACCTTCCTGCCTACACGCGATGTAGAGACAGGCGGAAGCTATAGCATCGTTTGCTCTGCCTTTCAAGTTTTTACCGTCATGCACCTGGAAAGAAATAGAATATTTGTCCGAATTGTGTGTAAATTTATTGAAGTTAAGCATTGTCTGTAGTTAAAACGAGTTTAAATTTGAATTAACCACCTTTACCGGTTTTAATTGTAAAATCTATGAGATAACTAAGGTCCCCATGACTGGTTGGGCTGTTATTAAAATGAATTGTAAATAAGTTAACTAATTTTGCGTTTTTATAAAGTTTTAGAACCGATTAGGAATTTTTTTAGAACTCACTGGGCTATATATGTATATTATGGTCATTCTAATATAGATTTTGTCCAAAGCAATTTATGTTGTGTCTTCAATTTTAAGTGAGAAATATTATTTATTATGATTAAACTTCGTATTTTATAATTAATATTGTGAGGATTTATAGCATTGTTAATAGTAGCGATATAAATAATAGTTTTTTTATATGATAGAAGAGGACTGAGCCATTTAAAACCAGAGCAAGATGCGCTGTTGACTTATTTTGTGTTTAGATATTTGGGAATATTTTTATGTAAGGGAAATCAATTGTAAACTAAGATAAGGCATGTTACATGTTCTTTAACTTTAAGTTTGTGACAGAGAGTATAAGTCTCCATGATACGTAGCCCATTTTTATTTATGTATATCAGAGATAAGTTGCTTTAAACCCATATCCCAGATTTACATACTTATCAATTCATAATTATTTAAACATTTTTGTTACTGTCGAGACTTAATTTGCATAATTGTTAGCGAAAATCCCTGACCTAAAAAATCACCGTCAAGCGAAAAATAAAAGGTACATCAATGCAATTTTGAATTTAGTGAAAACTTTTTTAAATGAGCACTCTGAAAAACCTTGATATTATATTTATGATTGATATTCTGAAATTCCAGGCCAATAACCGGCTTTCATGGAAGTAAAGCTTCAATATGTGTTTTAGTTACTGTTTGTAGATTGTTTAACATCTTTTGAACACCCAGCCATATGTTAACTTGTACACATGTATATAATAAAACACCAATTTTATTATGTACCAAGTTAACAAAAGCAAATAACTGGTGGCAACATTAAGTTACAAAACTTGTTTCAATTAGAACACATAATACAATTAAGACAAAAAAAGAACTCTTACCTGTTTAAACAAATTGTTTGATCGATCAACAATCGTTTTCGGTAAATTAATTCGATCAGCCATAGCGTTAATTTCTCTAAATGCGTTGATCAGTGCTCTGTCTGTACTGCTAATATTCCGTCTATTCTGATATTTTGAAACTCCAAAACTATCAAAGGATGCATCTCCTCGACCTGGCCCAATAATTGTAGACAAGTCGCCCCCGGATAGCAAGGGGTTTTCTGGACCACCCACACGAGATGGATCTACACCAGATTTTTCATTACTGAAGGTCCGCCATTCGGAACCAACATCTATTACTCTGCAATGGGAAATATATGATAATACATGGTTTTGATTATAACTAGGATCTTATTTTTTTAATGTAAAGGATTATTCGACAGCATTAGGTTAAAAATGTTAAGCACTGATTGTACTTATTCTAGAACTGATCATAAGTTGTCAGATTGAATAGAAGGGTGTTGTTTTAGCTTAAAGTACATACCATTAAATAAGAAAATGCATGTTTTGTAACATTCATCCCTTATACTGTTGGTTAACCACTAACCAGTCAAATGATCTAGTAGATAAAGTTTTCATTTTTTTATGTTATTTAGTGACTACTTATTCCTATTTCTATAATATAACTGAGGCCTTGAGTCTGAGGCCTGGTCTTAACAAACGTTACGAGAGTTATAAGACAAAAAATAAGCAACATTTATGTTTTTACTTCAACTTAGCAAAGGACAAAAAGTAAGAAAAATAATCTACTTACCTGTCACCGACAACGAGGCCACATTCTGAGCATATCATGTCACCCGCTCGATAATCCTCAATAAGCGGAGCATCTGGATGAGCATAGCAGACCACTTTATTCGCTTCAATTCTAAAACCACAAAATCAGCAAGTTAAAACTTGGTTTCAACACTGCGTACCACGTCTCGCTTTCACAATACACAATAATACGGATCTGGACCAGAAACTCTGTGGAAAACTTACGCCTCATTTATTTAATATGTTAACAACAACCAGGCAATTTTAAATTATCGATTATTCTCAGTTAAATTACGAAAATAAATAAAAAACAGGAAAACAGACCTAGACGTGCTCGCCATGATTGTCAAGCTAAATCCAGAGACAACATTTTTTCTTTGTTTTCGCGCACTTTGACTCTACTATAGACGATACGCCATTATGGTTAATACATATAATATATTATTTAAAATGTATTTAAACTATTGCTATCTGATTGTATGGACTAATTTTTATCAGAAATCATTTAATAATTATTTATTTCCTAATATTACAATATTTTCTCATTTATTAGAGTAATCTGCCATCTGTCGGCTTATGTAAAAAATAATATAATAATAATGATACAAATATTATTTTGTACTTTTTTTAGGAGATGTCGCTAGTTGAAGTTTTGGTGCCTTGAAACAACATTTTCATTCTTTTTTATGAGACTGTGAATTTTAATTTCTAATGCAATTTTGAAGTTTGGCTAATTTTGTCTTACAAAAGTAGAGATAGGTACTAATTGTATTGTGTTACAAATTAGGATAATGTGGAGATTAAATCATTTGTCATCTACATTGTTTATGAAAATGATCACGTACGCGGAACCTGATAAGCGGAAAGTTGCGAAATATCCTCGATTGAATAAATGCTACAGTAATCTTCGTTAAACCTTAAGGTCAATAGTTCAATGAGTTGCATGTCACAGTAAGCTTCGTCTGCTGAAACCAACCAAACAAAAATGCCACAAAAGGATTGTTAACTTAGGTACTGTTGTGCAAATTAGATTGTCGACAAGATATTTAAAAAAAAATTGGCGATACGTTTTTAATAACCACTTTCTGCTTTTTCATAGGAGCTACTAATTTATTGCTGTTAGTGTAATTTAATCTTCGAGAGATGGATACCTCCTTCTTCAACTTCTAAAGCACTAAGTACGTTAAATGTTCTAGAAGTTTATTCCAGAACATTTTCTAAAACCGAACTGACAAACTAACTTCGTTTGACCCTAGATTTATCGATCGTCATTAAAAAGAGGCTAGACCAATAATGTACTATTTATTTGTCTTACAACAGATTAAAAGTAGTTTAGAATCGTAGGACCAGAGTAGGTTATAATTTCACAACTTTTTCGCAAATATTATTTGTTCAACGAGCATTCTCTGCACTTTACGCCATTACAACAAATAAAAAAAGCAAAGAACAAAACACTGTAAATTAAGTTATTTGGTGATTAAAATTTTTACCAATATCGATCTATGCTTTTCCTATTAATTTAAACAAAGGCTTTCTTTAGACCTTGTAAATCAACAATGGTAAATTCATAGCTGAATTCACGGACACAATTTCGCCCGTGTTAACTGAAATTGAATTATTTCAAAGCTTTGATCAATGACCTACTGACACCGATTGCTCATTGAAAAAACGCTGGCGAATTCAAGGTATGTGCTCTGATTAGGTCATAATTAAACGATTAGGTAACTCGCGAACATTTTCTATATTTATGGTGAACGATGTTACGTATGTCTATGTGTTTGTCACGAAAATCAAAGAAATAAAGAGGCTGGTTTTGGTGGGACTATGGTTCCAACTTTTATAATATACATCTTATATGAGGCCGCTAGATCCAGAGTAGCCTAACTACAATTGTATGACTCGACTTATTTCTATTTTTATAGTCTAAAAACGTGAATCTACAAGAGCGGTGACCGAAAATTGTTAACATAATTCTTACATAAATAATAGTACAAATTCCTTTTTGCTTAATTGCGCATTTTTATTTTCCTTCTTATTGAAAATCATGGTTTTTGTTATTAGCAGCCTCTCTGTTTTTTTTTAGTAGAATATTTATACATTTACTTGTGGTAAAAATCTACCTCAGCGCAAAGATAAAAACTCCTATACAAAAGACCGACGAGAATAATGATGTCTCCCCGTGACCACGGCTGCTGCAAAGCATCCGAAACGTCGGGCCGTAGTTAAAAATCATTTTCAAATAAGTTTAACTAATATATCGCGTTTTAAACCGATAAAGTGTTTTATTTAAATATTTAAACTTTGCAAGCAGCGTCAGAACTTTGAACTGAATACAAAAACAACAAGGTCATTTTACCCCGGGTATAAACCCGCTCGCGGTATCATACTTTTTCTAATTGAGATTACAAAATATTGTTTAACGCGCATTGAATGAAATAACCACAAAATCAATAATATAATTAATACATATTGCGAAACTTATGAAGAAAAAATGATCAGCGCAATTTTGGTATCGACCACAACTATTAAAATATTGCGCAAACATTAAGTACGGCTTTTAGTAATGTACTTAATATAATAATTATTGTTGAGTGCACAAATACTCTTATATTATATCAGCGGTTTTGCGTTGATTTGTCAGTGTTTCAGACACCAGGACAAAATATTTGAATAAAACACCTTTAACGATTTATAACGCGTAATATTTGCGTAGTTTCGGAAGCTTTCGCATCAGCCGTGACCACGGTGGTTTTAATAAGTGAACTAATTTATGTCGCGTACATAACCGTTCAAAGTGTTTTATTTAAATATGTACTACTAGCGTACTACAGACAAAACTTAATAGTTATTCGAAAAAAGAAACGGAATAAAACATCGTTGGACGCTGATTGTTTATATCGGGATCAAAAGTCGATCATTTGAAACTCCTTTTAAATATTAATGCTTTGGTTACTTAGTAAGGGAGGGATAAACAATAATAACACAAAATTAGATACTAGTGTTTATATGGCAGCCCTAAGCTGTAGTCAAAAGTAATTTATTCTGTCATTGAGAATACATTTTAGCAAAGTAAATATGGAGTGATTAATTTTACAACTACTTAAAGGAGCTGTTAACATTGGTTGGAATAACTTCTAAATTTTAACAAATTCCTATCTAATTGGAAGCACTAGTTTTCCTTGGATAGTTTGCTACGACTTATTTACTTTGTAGACTAAGATCTTAGCGTTTTAAGTTAAACTAATGTAACGTTTGAAAACATTATTATTTTTATGTTAGCACTATTTAAAAATCGAAAAAATTGCTCTGTGCATTGCAACAGCCGAACCTGACGATGCCGGTTCAAGTCCTGGCCGAGTCGAAAATTTTTTTTCGATTTATTTTCGAATTTTATATTAAACTAATGTAAGTTAAAATAACTTAAATAATTTTAACAAAATTATCTGTACTTGCTAATTAAACATTATTTGAATACAGATAATATTTGAAACCAGAAATTACAAATGTTATAAATATATTATCTATAATTTGAGTCTATGGTTAATAATGGTAGTGACATCTTGGCTTAAAGGTCGCGTTGCTAGGTCATAAAATATTGTTTAAAAAGTAATATCAGTTTTTTTTTATTCTACGCTCGGTTTTGCCGCCAAAGTACGTATTAGGCAAATTAACGACACAATTTTACTTAATTTTCTTATTTCGTAGATACGTAATTTTATTATTAAATTTTTTATAAAAAGTTCACCTTTGTAATAATAATTTCGACTAAACTCAAAGGCGAGTAGCAATTTCACAATATTTTATAATATACTAGGAAGTGAAGTTCGCAATTACTCGAGTCATAGATAAAATCAATTTGTTGTGTCTACTTGGTGGATTTTACACTAGTAATTAATATCTTTAAAAGTAATATTATTTAGCTTTAATATTTAAAAATTGCTAAAATAGTAGTGCCAATTTTTTCGTCGAAATTGCTGTTGAAAAGTAGAGTAATACAAATTGAAATAAAATACGGTTTCAACCGTGAAATTTAAATAATGTATGTATCCTGTGAAAATTCGAGCTGGTGAATATTGTAAACAAGTTTAAGTAACAGATTTCGCGTTCAAAACCGTTAAAAGTGTTAATTTTAAGAGCACAGATGAAACAACCCCATAGGCCGGTGACAATAATTATTTTTTGTTATAAGCGAAGACATGAAACGAGTTATGAAATCACTATGAAATCAAACACAAAGTTTCATAAGTCAAGTATGCAGTACCGTTGAGCGGTGAAACAAAGAATTTTGATGCATCATTCAATGTGATGAGTCAGCAGACGTGTGCATCGCACTATTAACTTTTATGTGCCAATATACGGAAGTTCGAATAGATAATATGCTGTTGATAGCGCCCAATTTCTTGACTTTGCGTGTCATTTGATTCGTCGAGTCTCTTGTGTTTATCTAATAAGACAACAAAAACACGTTCACCAATAAATATAAGCGTGATTTTACGCATTTGCAAACTACGGTATAACAGGAAAACGAAAAAAATTAAGCTTGCAGTTTCAGTTTGAATAAATAAAATATCTCGTTATATTTTCCTGTTTAATATATTGCACAATAAAATGTTTATTGCAGTAGCAATTGAACCTGGGACATGGTGACTTGGCTCAAATGCAAGGGAAGACATAGATATATTTATATGAAAAGGAAAGAACGATTCCAGGTCTACATAATACGAGGCTTCTAGAGGGAGAGTGGCCTAATAACAAAAAAAACATGATTTTCAGTACAGTAGTATAAATCCGTAATTGACTTAGGCCAAAATGAATTTGTATAATTATTTGTGTAAGAATTATGTTAACCTTTTTCGGTTACTGTGCTCTTGTAGGTTGATGTATTCAAACTATAAAAATATAAATAAATCAATTCATAAAAATGCAGTGAAGCTACTCTGCCTCTACCGGCCTCATATTATGTAAGTTGATACAAATTAAAAATCGAATTTAGGTTAAGAAAACTTAGCGACACGGGCAGGACTTCAATCGGCATTCGCAGCGTTCCGTGCTGTTGTCCTAGCAAATACCAGCGAGCTACTAGCTACCGAATCCTACACGAAATCGGCGAATTTTGTCAACCTCTCGCGCAAGTGGGTTAATACATTTTAAAATTGATCCAGAGAGAACGATTAAATAAAACACTTTACGTTTAAAACGCGATAAATTAGTTAAACTTATTTAAAAAAAGATTTTTAACTTCGGATGCTTTGCAGCAGCCGTGGTCCCGGAGAGACTGGGTCTAAAGTGTTTCATTTAAATGTGTACTACTCGCTTGAACTACAGACAGCATTCAAGAGAG